TATTCTGAATCATTGAAAATGAAACACTGAGGTGCGGCTTCTAAATACACATCCATATAAATGTTAAACATTATCTAAGGAACTCTGACCTTTTGCTGCTGTTCTTTCTGTTTGTGCTTAGTTATCTTCTTTGGTGGAGCGACGCCCATCTTTGCAGACTTGAAGGACTCCAGACGACTCCTCATTGTCCTCTGGAAGATTTCCTGCACCTCGTTTTCATCCTCATTGACGTTAAAATGGCTCCGGCTGTACCTGTGTCTGTGCTGCAAAGCAAAAAAAACAAGAGACGAGCAGAGTGAGAGTCAGGGAGGACGATCTGAGGATTTGATTCGGACACTTGTAATGATAAAGTGTTCACCTGTTTCCTGCCTTTGTACAGATGCTGTTGCAGCAGGTGATGAGAGTTGATGCCCTCAGTTTCTCTCATTCCCTTCATAGTCTGCTCGTGCATATCCAGGCTCACTGATGGCACAGGGTCTCTTCTACAGGGAGAACACATCATGTCAATCACAGTTCACAGCAAAATTAGACAAAAAAGAAATGATGCAAGAAAAAATGCTGCAACTGCTTGAGGTCACCAGGTGGCAGTAGGATCTAGTTTCCAGGCTGTGAATAGTTGATATGCTTTCCTTATCTGTATCTTTAAATACATTTATTTTTTAATTTCAGCATTGGAATGAAACCTCCAGTAACAAAGTTTTGTTTTGTCCCTGTCAGTTGGTCTTTCAGTATAATTACACAACTGATCACGACAGAGGAAAGAACCCGTTACATTTTGGGTTGGAACTGGACAAAGGGGAGGATAAAGAAAGGTTTTTTCACTTTCTTTAATATTTTAATGGTTCATGAGGAAAACAAATGTATGCAATTTGGTGCAGATCCAAATAAAAATCTGGATCTGGTGGATTTAAATGTGGTTTCATAAGGAGACTGTGGGACCTTGGTGGAGGTATGAACTCTAACAGGTCGGTAAAAGAGTTTGTTCACACACAGTCATGTCAACAACCTCTCAGTTCTTCAGTGACTGTTGGGAATGAGGTTAAAGTGTTTGCTCACCTCACGTCAGACACACTGCTGTGATCTTCCGTCATGTCGGCCATGATGTCAGGCATCACCTCTGAGAACTCATCACCAAACTTTTTCTTGAAGTCCACGGATGCTCTTTCATTGCGGACAAACTCCAGAGAGCCTCTGCGCTCACCCTGCACCAACAGGACGAGAGATCACTTCCTTTAACACTCCTGCACCTCATCCTACAGCTGTGACCTTTAATGTGCACGTGGTCCTCACCTCGGCCACATAGCTCATGGCGTCCTTGAGGTTCAGCTGATGGAAGACGCTGAACACGTGGTCGCGGTTCTTCCTCGCCGATGGCTTCATCAGCAGCCCTGTCATCCACTTGTCCTCAAAATGTTTCCACCTTCACAACAAAAGAACGAACAATCTTAGAAACATACAATCGAGACATTTTCCTGTTATATCATTTAAGGCGTCTTTACGCACTTGTCCCTCATGTAGTTGTGTCCAATTTGTCCAGAGATGTCTTCTATGGCAATGAGCAAGTGATCAAACACCTAAATCAACAGAGAGAGAAAGACTTGAATTATTACACAGGAAACTATAAAAGGTGAAATGAGAACATTTTGAGTTTTACCTTGTTCTGCACTTTTTCTATGAGTGTGAGCTCAGATACTTTAGCTCTCTTTACTTTCAGCCATGTGACCAGAGGTTTCATGGTGATTCCCTGCAGAAGAAAGAGTTTCCAGCATTAGTATGTGAAATGACGCTGCACAAAAAACAAAACAAGTGTTCTTACATTCTGTTGTGGCTAAAAAACAAGAGCGGTCACCTGAAGAATGACAGTGAAGTAGACAACAATGAGAGTTGTGCTTATCATCAGATTCTTCTCCTTTATCTTGCTCTCGTCCAGCATCACAGCCAGGCCGTACGCCACAGCCCCTCGCAGGCCACCGTAGCTCATAATCACCTGATCGATGAACCCTACGGGGACCAGCCTGAACTTGTTCAGGATCCAGGTGAGGAAAAAGACACCTGTAGTGCACACACACAGTTTTCAGATTGAGTAATAGTTTCTTCTCAAACGTGACAGCAGAAGAGAAAAATCTCACCAATTATTCTGTACACAAAGATGAAGAGGAGCGTGAGGAGGATGAAGCCGGTGTTCCACACCCAGATTTCCTTGTCGATGGCCGAGATGCCGAGGAAGACGAAGATGATGGTTTCTGATCCGTTGGCCAGAACCTTCATGGTATATCTGACCGTTTCGACGGACCTCTCGTCCATGTTTGCATTGATGTACTTCTGGCAGCAAATACCACAGAAGACGATCCTGTGGACAAAAACACAAACGTTATAATTCAATTCAAGCAGAATTCATGAAACAAAGTAGTAGTATTTTTCATGAAATACTAACGAGAGGATGGCAGACAAGGAGAGCATCTCAGCGGTCAGGTAGGAGAGGTATCCCAGGATAAAGACGAAGCCCGGCTCGATGATCTGGATGTTTTTAGTCCATCTGGTCAGAAGAGAGATCAGCAGGCCGAACACAAAGCCCATGAGGGAACCTCCAAACGCCACCACAAAGAAGGAAACTGAACAGAGACACAAAAAAAGAACAACTTGGATTTTATGCGTGCCCATACAGCATCTGTTAAACCAGCCGTGTCCACCGAGCCACATCTCACCTATCCCTTTAATGATCTCCACAGCATCGATCTGGGATCCTCCCAGTGACACAAATGCATCAAATACATTGAAGAGCACCTGAAAGAAGAAGCAGAAGAAAGTGAGTTCTGCAGATGTAGAGATCTCATATCTACGGCTTTTTGTTTAAAAGTTATTTCACTTTTTTTATTTTTATCCAGGTGCAGATTTGTTCTGTCTCTGATGATCAGGTCAGAGTGTTTGAAAGATGTGGAAACTTCAAAGTGACACGTTCTTCACGATCTTTACATATATAAGCTAAGCAAACTTTATTTCTAGATCAACCGCCTCAAAGAGCAGATTGACAGAAGTTCAGGAAAGACCTCAGCCGGGGGCAAAGGTCCTGACTTTGAAGTGCAGAATGTTTTCATTACACTTCACGTCTTGTAGCTGTGCTTTGTTTGTCCTGTGATCGATGTGTCAGCGACTCAGGCTGTTCTGCTTCTTAGGTCACCTGAGGTAAAGCCTCATTGTTGCATACGAACCACTGTCACGCCGTCGTTGAGGAGCGACTCTCCAAACACCATGATGAAGAGGACCTCATTGACGTGGACTTGCTCAAACACGGCAATGACGGCCACGGGGTCCACGGCGGCGATCAGACTGCCGAAAAGAAGATACTGCAACAGGCCGATGTCAAGATCACCTGCAGCAGAGGAAGCCCAGGGGATTTTTGTAAGAAGTAAAGTGAATAAACAAAGTCATGTAAAATAAAGCCGGCAGCTTTCTGCAGTGATCCAATAGCCCTAATTTCCACTTCTCTATGAATGGCTGCTACTTCCCCCTTGAGGACCCCAATGGAGGAGGGCCTGAGATGCTGCAGCTGTCGACATGAAATAAAGAGAAAGTCTCACCCATGGCTCCTCCCTTGTGACACCCCCACAGCGACAGCCCCACGCTGGCGGCGTTCCAGCAGGTCCCGATGATGGCGTAGATCAGGATGGCCCCCAGGTTGCTGAAGAAGAGCTTGTTGGGCATGGCGTAGCCCGCGTCCAGGATGACTTGAGGCAGCAGGTATAAGAAGAAGACCGTTGGGGTGAGCTTGAACGTCTGCACCTTGTCGGCGCCCCAAATCATCCCACCCAGGATGAAGCCGAAGCAGATGAGCAGGGCGCTCTCTGGGATCACGCTGGTCACATGGTGGTTGGCCTCGATGACTGAGAAGAGAAAGGAAAAGACAAAAAGGACAAAGATAAGTTGTCCTAAATGTAATGTGGGTTTCCACACAGGAACCATAAACCAATAAATTGCCAAACCCCTCTTCAGATTTTGGAGTTGGACCAGCAGGTTTTGGTCACTGAGTTGAAACTAAACCATAAATCTAAAACTTGAGAGGTTGCAAAACTTGCAAATGATCAACTGATGCACTTGGCTGAGGCGGTGTCACTTTTTCGTTCGGGAATATGATTAACCATGGCAGTGTCCGGAAAGGTTCACAAATCTTGAGGCCTCTTGACTTAATGGCCCGAGAAAGTGTCACTAAAGCTTATTTAATAATAAAAACCCACTGATCCATGGCAATAGGCCCATTTAATAATAAATGTTGATTTCTTTCTCCAGGCCCACAGAGGTTTAGACATTTATCCTAATGATATATGCCATTGGAAAGTAGTTGAAGATTAAGTAGAGGAAACGCTGGTCTGTTATACAGAATTTCAGGGCTGAATTTATCTTTGTGCATTCATGGAAGTCGAACAAATGTGTTAGCTCCGACAGTCCGGGTTATTTGGACCTGCAAGAAAGGCTGCTATTGGAAAAGCAAACTAAAATGTCACTCAGTAGAGGACATACCTCAATAAATGTCCCATCTCAAAATGTTAAAGAAAGTGAAAAAAGACTCCGCACTAAAATTTAAAGTGTGGGTCTTTGGGTCACACTTCACCCCTGCACAAAATTTCATGTAGAGACTTGAGACTGGGCAGTTTATTCCCAAATATACTTTGTAAAACTCTGTCCTCGCAATAAGCTTCTTTCTATGACTGAACATAACAATATGCACCAGAGTTGAAATAGTTTTAGTTATGTGCCCAAAGACTAAATGTGCTGAGGATTGAACCACCAACCACTTAGTTGCCGACCCTCTTTTCCTCCGGAGCCACAGCTGCCTCCTGTCATTGCCTCCAACAGGCAGACGCTTCACTGTGGGACCTTCATTCACCTGCGATCTACATCTGCCAGACTACATCACTGAGAAAAACTCTTTCCTGGCACATTTCATTTACGTACCCAACTTAGCCAAACCAGCCACCAATATCCACAACGCAATCAGATAGGGGGCCTCCACATGGTGCCACTTAAAGGTCACGATGGGCACTGTGGTGACGGAGCCGTGACCATGGTCGGTCCCATTCGAGTTAGTTTTGGGCTTCGAAGGCCTGAGGGGAGGTTCTCCATGTGTCAGCACAGATTCGTCCTTCGCGCCTGAGACGGGCCACGCCAGCAGCACCGACCCCAACAGCAGCAGACGCACATATCCACAGCGTCGCATTTGATCAAGTAAATCCGTTTCACTCCAAAAAAAAGGTTCCTCTGTCTTTGCTTGTACCACCTCTGATGCACGTTGCTTTTGATCTTTTCACTACCCTCTTATTTCTGATTCATCTCTCCATCCCAGTCTGTATCTTTGTGTCCTCGCTCCTCCCACAGGCTGAGGTCAGCAGCGGTGCAGTGAATATAGTAGCGTGCAGGACGCCAGACTCAGCCTTTTATATGTACAGTATCTCCTCTGTGTGTGTGTGTGTGTGTGTTTGTGTGAGTGTGTCTTTAGGTTGCAGTTTAAATGGGGGAAGAAACGGATGATTGGGAAATGTCTCCAGTTATTCAGTCACGTTTGAAACGCTCACCAGTCATTGCTTTGTTGTGCTTTCCGGTGTCTAACGCATTTGTGTGTGTGAGATGGGTCATCTGGTCATTCGATAGCTGCTGAACAAATATACCTGTGCATGTGTTGAGGAATATTTCCCCTGGCTTCATCTCCAGGCTTTGTGCTCAGCAATGATTGACGCTGACGTTACTCAATCTTGGTTAAAGACTCCCCTCACACTCTCACTCAAAATCTAAATCAGTCACATCAGACTGGGAATTTATTCCAGGCTTGAAAAAAGCCTCCATTAACATATGACACAGCTATGACTCAGTTAATAAGCTTATCTCTTTGTTTTGTCCTGAGATTTTGTGTGACACAGTTTTAAAGGTAAAGTCTGGTGATGTTTTATGCTTTGAAGTCAACAAATGCCACAAAAAGACCAAAACCAATAATAAATCAAAAAGTAAATTCCACGTGCACGTTTAAATGTTGCTTGAACATTCATTTATTATTATCTTTGTGTCATCACGCTGTTTTATATATTTGCTCATGTTCCAAAATGTGTACAACCCTACAAGGGAGGTTTCATGAGTTTCTAATTTCTAAACTTTTTTCCACTTGGAAAGCACATTGGACTTAAATGTGCTATTTAAATAACATTTATTCTTGTTGTTTATTATTATATTCATCACCTGTATTTTACAAATGGGCTCAGGCCGGATTAATTGTGGAAAGAAACGGAAAAACATTTTTGATCTTTTCATTCATCGACAATAAGAAAACTAAAGAGCAACAGCAGCCTTATCATTTAAATACTCTACAATAAGACTGTGCATTGATTGATGACACAAGCATCTCCCCACAGTGAAGTTATATTAACCCACACTGTGAATTCCCATAAACGTTGATTCAGTTGCTGCGTGATGACTGGATGTTTTCTTTGGCCAACTGTCCCGTCCTGTTTGAGCAAGACAAGGGACAATAGCCTCATTGGCGATGATGAACTGGTTTGATGATTAGCTCTCACACAGGTGCCCGTCTGTGCATCTGCTAAGAGCAACTTAAAAACTGTTGGATTAGGTTATGTATTAAACTTTGGAGTTGGAATAAGTTCACTTTTGTTCATCCAGTTGCAGAATATCTTCAGTCTTGTTGGTTTTAAACGCTGTAAATCATAATTATAAGAACATTTAGCTGCTCCGTCAAGCAATAACCTTATTAACTAATGACCTAATACAGCCTGCTTAACGGAGGCTGCACTTTAACTGTAACTTTTTATTCATTCAGAAATGGCCACAGCTCAGTGCATGCTCCAAAGACAGGTCAACTTCACAGAGAAGTCAGACAGAGGTTATTCTAAGACGGGGAGGTACGGTAGTTACAGTTAAAGGTTGTTGTGTCATGGTTTGTTGTGTCAATTAAGTGTCTCATCTCTGACCTCACACACAAATGCTTAAGAAGTTAAATTATTATATTATATATATATATATGTGTGTGTGTGTGTGTGTGTGTGTGTATTATATCATTCTGAGACATGAAGTTACATTTGTTAAATTTGATAATATTCATTGATCAACAGACAAAACACATTCAATGAGCCACACCTAGCTGAACAGGCTCATTTTAAACTGTTGTTGAGGCAACTAGAAATAAAATAAAGTGACCTATCATATATAATTACAAATATATATGGTTAATTCTAATGCAGTATAGTGCACACTATCCAAACTAACGGTACAACAAGCCCACGCAGAGGGTCCTGACTGATAAAAGAAGCATTGTACGTCTACAAAGAGGAAATAAGATCAACTGGTGCCATTGTCTGCGCTTTACAAACCCACGATTAGTGAGTGTAGCGATAACATTAATAATGTGTTGGTTCGTGTATGAGACTTCTCAGCAGTCCACTGAAATTCACAGCAGCGAGCGATCAAAGGTTTATCCCACCCATTGTTTTCACATCTATAAAAGTTTGATCCCATCATAAAACAGCAGACTTAGTGGTGACACTTCAGAGTTTCTCGTGCTAATATTTACCTCCTTACAGCTTTTGGTATTTCTAAAGTTTAAGTGATTCCAAGTGCAAACTCTAAAATTGATTGAGCAACGGTGGGGGTTAGGGGAACTGTGGTTTTATTGTTGAAAGGTGAGACCTGTGGTTTCCTCTGCAGTCTTTTGTAATCTATTTTAATCCAAGAAATATTTTATAAATAACTACATTTGCACTTCTGGTATGTGGCATTTGGTTTCTATGATCCTTGTCAGTGGCAAAGGAACCGAGGACAACCAGTAAAAAACACTTTTAAAGGAAACTTTACCGACCTCTTTAGCTTGAAGTTCTTTTAATCATTCTGATCTATATGCTTTATTTTATTTAAATTTAAGTAATTTAATTTATTTTAATTCTATTGTCGTATTTCAAATGTATTGTTTGGCTCCGTGTATTGCAAGTTTGCATGAAAGGAGCTTTATGAATAAAGTGTGATTTAAACTTTAACAATGTATTTTAAAGGCTTTGACCACAGAATTTAATTTGTGGACATTTGTTTCCACGAAAACTCGAAGGAAACATGTCTGTGTCTTCAGAATCAGCTGCTAAAACATCAATTACACATTTCTCTGTTTTCACTCATAATCACTTAACTTCGTTACAAAACACTACTGTAACATTTTCAGCGTACATAGACAAAACAGACACTGACATTAAAACATCTACTGTAGCTACTTGCAGACAAATAAAGAAGTCAGCAGGCTGTGTCTGTTTTCACGGATTTTCCTGCATCTTATACAGAAAACCATTGTCCCCTATTTATGTCCGAGGAGGTGTATACAAACACATGCATGCACACATTAGAGGACGCTCATTCATTTACATTGTCCACATTGCCTATTCTCGCCTGTTGTGTACACACAAAATGCTCATGACAATTTTCTGTGATCACAACAGGACGAGGGAAGAACCGAGGCCTCGTCAGGTGTGAAGCATAACAGAGGTCAAACTGTTGAATCCAGTGTTTCACAAGTGGGTTTAGTCCAGGTCCGATCACAGCTTTTCAACTTGAGACATGCAGCTTGACTCTGGGTGTCGGTTTTTATCAAAGCCACCTCAGACATGAATGGATCGATGGTAATCAAACCCCTACGTATTAGAAGAAGGTTGGGAAACATGAGGATAAATGAAACTTCACCTTGACAGTCCTGCACTCTGCTCACTGACAAACGTCCTAATCAATCAGATCCTGATCCAAATCTTTTCTAATGAGAGAAACTCACGCTTCACATTATTCTGCATGATGGTAAAGTGAATATCTGGACTCGTGGTCAGAACACGACATCTGAGGCTGAGCTGTTGGAGGTTAGTTTTCACTATTTCTTTGTAATTTAACCAGATTATTCAATATTAGAAATTGTTTTAACAGCCCTGCACTATTCCCACATTAAAGCAAACATAAGCTTCTTTTCAAATGTCTCTCTAAGGCACTGAAATATGTTTGTTTCAGGTTTTTTTGAAATACGATAAAGTCAGGACCCATCAGCTCTCCGTGGACCGGACTTGGTGGAACTCACTGATTTTGCAGAGCCAGCTGACCAGGATCCACAGAGCCACCAGGTACGGGGTGGAGACATGGTGCCACCTCCAGGTCACAATTGGCAGGGTGGTGATGGGCCCCCCGCCGTGACCATCACCAGTGTCTCCGTGACCAGTGTCTCCATGACCAGCGTCTCCGGTTGTGTCATGGCCTGATTCTGTGTCGTGCCCCGAGGCCGGACTTGAGTTTGAGGTGTCCTCATGACCACTGCTGGGCTCCGTTGTCCCTGCCTCCTCATTGGCCAGGCTCGGACCTCTGGACACCAGCAGCAACACGGACAGAAACAGTGCAAATCTCCAGGTAGAAGCCATGTTTGTCGGAGAACGTTTCACAAACTCTTGGGCAAGTGTAATTTATGTTGACTCAAGTGCTCGGGTTGTGGCCAAGTCTCTCATTCATTCATCTCCTGCGTCTCCTCCTTCGCTCTCAGGTCTCTTTCACCCTCTCACTCTGTTCTTACATCTTTCCCTGGCTCTCCTCTCTGCGCTCCTCTCTTTTGACAGAAGGTGAAGCTCAGCCCATCCTGAGGCTTCCCTGTCACCTCCCACTTTGTACCCAGCCCAGCTAGTTTGGCCACTTTACTCAATGGATGATTTGATTAAGATTAATGATGCTCTTGTCCTTTCTTTGAATGTTTTACAAGCTTGTTTTCACCGATATAATTACCTCTTATGTGAAGTGAATCACAAAATATCCTTTCTCTAGAAGCGCTTACTCATACAAGCTCTTCTGGGGTATTGCTGCTATCACATATACTATTACTTGATACGAGCTTGGATGAAGGTGATAAAGGTAACGACTTTCACAATCAAAATTCCACCTTTTGTACCTGTACATGAGATTAATGGTTGACAAAACCCTCTAAGGGGTCAAATCTTACAGGTTGTGAGATGTTTAAACAATTTAAAAAAATTCTCTAGTGAGATAACACCTGATGTTAAAAAAATGTGAGAGGGGGAAATCAATGCTTCCGTAATTGGGCAGTAATTTAATAAACCTTTCCTGCTCCCGCCATCTACTTAAAATACTTCACAGATAAAGCCATACTCGCCCATTCACACCATAAAATCCACTTCCTCCCACTATCCAGAAATGTATTATTTCTTGGCTAAATAAGAAAAGACAAACTGATGTTTTTTACATGCATGTACACAGTACGTGTGAGGACAGGAAGGCAGTTTGACCCATTTGTCTCCCTTATTGGAATGCAGTGCTTGTACCCCCAACATCCTCTGCCCTGCACGCTGCACAACAAAAACTGTGTTGAGCCTTCATTGCCACGATACATGTGTGTTTAGGTGACAGAGTCTTGTAAATGAACCCTAGTTTGGACGCGATGTTCCTTTTTTTCCAAGAGTTGTTAATCAAGATCTCTTTAGTTACAATTTAAACAGTCATTCCGACAGAGAAGGAACTTTATTTAATGAGGATATTGAAATTTTGAGATCTGCAGATTTTTTAACTTAAATAAAAGTAATAATTAAAATTAAAATTGCAAATTATTCTCAAAAAAGTTCTGTATTTTTGCACAATTCACTTCTTCTTTGATCTTCTACTTTCTTTTTTTTATTTATTTAGTTCAACAAATATGAACTAAATAAATCTAATGCATTTAGATTTAGCCAAAGCAACTTTAAAAAAAAAACTTTATTTACACAGGGAAAGGCCACTGAGACCTTACTTTCTTTTTGTCAAGGACGCCCTCACTACAAATATACATTATAAGAAACAACAATCCATAGATGTAAAACAAATAGTATGGGACTGTAAGCAAAATATGTATATAAAAGATATAGCTCAAATAAACTCACATATTCACACCACCCTGAGTCAACAGAATTGAAAGTACGAATAAAGGTTAACTTGTCACACATCTCAAAATGTGCAAATCCACTGATTATCAAGAACTCAATACTCTTGGTATCTAGTGCTGTAGTTATTAAGACACATCGGAGAGCCAGGGAGTTTGCCAAATGAGAGCTTTGTTCAGGAACGTGTCCGGAGTGCAGTGCAGCTTTAAAAGTCGGTACCACCCCGGCGTTCTCTTTCAGTTTGTGTTCACAGCTCCTCTGTTGACAATTTATGACTAAACTGGCGGCATCGATTGTTCCCCCGGCTTAAGAAAGGGTTTAACACTGGTATCTAAAGTCAGTAGTAATCAAAGGGTCAGCCGTCAACACAGAGCTGAGGCTTCGAGGTTAGTCATCAACATGCTCGCTGGAAGGAACTAGATCAGACAAGCCTTCACGAGATGAGGGATTTGTATAAATAAAAGAAAGACGACACCGTGATACTTTCAGAGCTGCATATTATGCGAGTCTCATAAATCAACGTGATTTGGTCTTAAAACTGAAACAATCATGCAACTGACACTAAATAAAAAAATATTTTTATTATTTCATTAACGAATTATTTACGAAGACTGCAGCGATGTTAGCATGAGTGTTAGTGTTCACAGTCATAGAGTTTAGTCTGTTTGCATTAGCATCAAACACAAATTCCGGACAAGGATTATTGGAGTGTCACTGAAATTGTAGATCGTTGCACATAAAACCGAATTTTGGACCAATTGGAATTTGGACCTGATGGTGGCACTAAGGGAAAAGTTAATAGTTAATACTAAAAATAATAAACTTTGATTGTAAAGCATCTTCCATACGAGAAATTCTTCTATTTTAATCTGTTTGTTGAGCAACAAAAGGAAACTTTTCAAAGATGTCACCTGAGGCTTCGGGGACTCATGAGGGACATTTGACTCAACAAGTGAAGTCAGAAAATCCCCACATTGTTCAATAATTAAAAATATACATGAATCGCTCTGTCTCAGTGATCTTATCTACGAGTCATCCTGACTGTGCACACAAAAAGACACACAAGGATGCTTAAGACTTAAAAAGCTCATGTGTCTTACAATCATTGATGTACTCTATGTTAAGTGATGGGGAAGTTTAAAGAGGAGAATGATGAGTCAGAAGAGAGAGGAAGTGTAATGGAAGACTTGCATATGATCTTTGCTAGAATTCTTTCCCATTTCTGATCAATGCTCGTGTGCATTTGTATAGTAACACAATTGTGCTCGCATAAGAGGAACTGTCTAGCGTACAGGCAGACGGAAGATCATTGAGAGCCGGTCTCAGAGAAAATAATACCTATTTTCCTGATTCCTTGTCCCAGAGAATAAGCTAATTCATTTATCACAAGATTGAATTTGTTAATAAATGTTAAAACTCACACAGTAACTCAACATTTTCTCTACTGCTTACAAACACTGAACCAATAATGATTATTTTTATATATAATTTTTTTATTTAAATTTAACTATTTTTCACCTTTTTACATTAATCTCCATTTTGTAGTAATGAAAACTGGTAGGACCAAGAATTATTTACCAAATCTATTATTATCACACTTTATCCAGTTCCATCAGTATAACAAATAATGACCTAATAATATCGTTAATCGTTAAATGTGATACGGTCCTGAATATGCAGAAAAAATGGAGGAGTGGATTATCTATTAATCATTTTAAGGTTTTTGAATTAATTTTACACTCAGAAAGATGTTAGGAACTAAAGAAGAAAAGATCTTTCCTGCTGTTTTTGCTAAAATCACTTACGGAAATATATTAGAGCTAACTTATATATATAAATATATATATTTTAAAAGAAAAATAACATTTTGAAGGCCTTTTTAAAAGAAAACTGAATTATACGTCTATAACTCTGGGTATCCCGAAAAAACAAAACAAAATGACTGTACTTATTTTTAATCCTTGCGTTAATCGCTGACAGAAGCTTCTATCCTGGCAGAAGGAGGCAAAGAGTCTTAGGCCGTCTGTAACTCCGTACAACAAATAGAACAGTATTTTTCCCACTACTGATTGTAGCCGTTCAGGTAAAGTCACCAGTCACAGCCTCAGTGTGTTTATGGTGTCCGGTTGCAGAGGAGAGGATGTTAAATAACCTGCATGGTCACAACTTGGATGAAGGATGGTTCTGAGTTTACGGTTCAATATGTTATACAGAAATGTTGACTCAACATGAATCCCCTCTGCTGACCTTCGATATGTGCACAGATCTGATATCACTCAAGTTGTATAACAACCATCACTGTGAGCTGGGGATGGTCCGGATCAGTAATTCACACGTCTCTTACCTCACTGACTCCAGCCACACGTCGAGTTTCTATTCAATCGCGACGTCTTCAGTTTTCATTATTGCTGATCGCCGAGGGGAAAACAATCTGAGTCTGTCTCCGTCACGCTGTTTCAAGACACAAGAGAGGAAATGAGATTTTAAAAAGTATTCACTTCACCTTAAGTTGCTTGAGAAGCTGATAGTTTAAAATAAGACATCTTAAACCAAAGATCTTGTGAAACCTCTGCCGTATGTTATATGATTGGCCACTAGAGACTCCCATGCTCTCATCACATACAGGACTTTACCTTTCTTTGTGTCGTGTGTTTTTCTTTTCAACACAACGAGCACGTCTACCGCGAAATGCAAGTCTCGAGCAAACGTCGTTGGTCCCACTATCAGTCTCTGAGCTGTCAATCGTGACCTTTCATAAACTAATTTAAAACTAACTTCCTGGAAAAATTAACGGTGGAACGTACATGCAGACCTTACATGACAATATTTACATGTGGTAAAAATGCGGTAAGAACGTATATGCTCTAAATAAAGATGGAGGACATATATCCACTTCAAAAATGAAGCCAAAATATTCCACATGCCAGTGCCACCGTCTTGGAGCCGGGTCGGGCCAGTGTATTTTGCCGCACAGTAGCAGCTTGGCCCTCGGAATGACGTTACACCTGAATAACACAAGAAGTTGGCATTCCGTTTGCACAGGAACAAACCAGTTCATAATAACTCATAACGCACGCTAGCACCGAAGGATAGGCTTCGGCTGAGACGTCCGACCGGGTGATTCCGAGTTCTGAGGTTTAACGGAACACAGCGTTTACTGCAGGTTCTCATCACTTCTGTCTGCAGCCACGTGAACCTGCTCGTGCTAAAGACGACACTTGGATCTTTAATTTATTTTTTATTAAGTGAAACAGGAACAGGGCCCGCTGACGTCACGTCGAGGTGTACAGCGATCTCCCTCCTCCTACCTGTTGCCCGAGCACGCGCACGGTCTCGTGCTCCGAACGCGTGACGTCAGCGGAGCGTGGGCACGCGGACAGAGAGAGAGAAAGAGAAAGTGAGAGAGAGGAGGAAGATGCGGGTCGGTGAGTGAAGGTCTGTTTTTAAAAACATCGTGTCGTCAGAAGTCTGCGTTGACATGTCGCGCTCCGCGTTCGTTTGTTCTGAACCCGGTGGCGAAAACGAAACTGCGTCATTGTTTTGCGACAGTTCTTGTTAAAAGACAGGAAGCAACAGGGCGGCGGAGTCCGGAGGGAAACTTGTGGCTGTCGCGGGGAAAGTTGTCATCGGGTGGGAAAACGGCCGCCCTCGTCGCTAGCTTTAGCCGAGGCTAACCGTGGTGTCGTCGGGGGTTTATCGGCCGGGGTTAAAGAGTACGTGCGGCGGGGAGAGGAGCCACCGGAGCCCCGGGGGGGAGATCCAGAGCCGGAGGGGAGGAGGAGGAGGAGGAGGCGGTGAAGGTGAAGCGGCGTCACAGGCTGATGTCTGCGCTGTGACGTGACGGAGGTTGACGTCCATGACAGCTGAGTGATCTGCTGCAGAACAGAAACACAATTAAAGAAGAGACAGATTCAGTCTCTGTTCGAGATTTCGATGATAATTCAAAGATTTTTATTGTCAAATACACACGAGAACACACGTAAAATGTAGAATTTGCATTAAAATACAATAAGGATGTGGAAACATGTTTAAAAGTTAGGCAAAAACAAGGCGAATGAGGTGAATGAGGTGAAAAAGATGAGGATTGTGCAAAACTGAGCAGTGCAAATTGAACATTAACAGTGAAAAATTAAATAAAATGTGTACAATATAAATGTAAACAGTACAAATGGAAATACTTAATGTTAAAGTGCAGACCAGTGTTACAGTTTGTGAGGTTATAGACTCCTGCAGTGGGGAAGAAAGTCGAAAAGTCCAAATTATTAATTACAGACTGAATCAGAGGGGAATGTGTTTTTATTATTGAATTAAATGGCGACCCCTCAATTAAACGTAGAAAAACAAAGGACAAAAAAAACATAAAATTCCTCCACACTGCTCCTGTGCTGTCGTCCATGAGAACTTTAAGATTGTCGCCCTGTTACTTCAATTGTGTTGGAAAAGTTTGTGGACTCAAACAATTCATCCACACCCTCAATTTTCATTTTTGGGTGAACTCTCAGCATCTGCCACCAAAAATCCATATCGCTCATCTTCATAAAACATTTTGTTGTTGTTGTTACAGTTTATTGATCCTTATTGGCTGAAATATGTGACACTACATAGTTATATAAGTGATATAAGATCAATGATTCGTCAGCCAGGCCAAGTTTAAGAGTTTGTTTAACTCTAAGATCCAGCTGAGAAACAAACAAAAGAAATGTAACACTGAAACTAAACCTAATAGGTGATAACAGATCATTGGCATGTGAGCAGAGAACTGAGATGATAAAGACGACAGTGAAAGACAATCACAAGAGAATGATATGAAATAAGATACAGGGAAGCTTTCAATAATACCTTACATTTCATCGCTGTGCTGACTTATTGCTGTTGTCAGAGGCCTAATATCACTGACCGCTGAACAGAAATAGAAACACAACCGACCGTGTCAAAACTGTGAACAAGCCTCCAGTGTTTTTGAACATTGGCTCAACAAGCACAGTGTTCTGATTTCTCTCTGCTGCAGGCTGTGCACTGACAGCCGCTGTTGTCTCAGTGGAGATGTTGATATTATCATTTATGAGGACATACTGTACAACATGTCTCGTGTTAATATGAACGTTCCAGGATAATGCATGAAAGAGAGCATGGCTAATGTCAGCAAAGTGCATGCGCAGTATGTTTGCCTCAGCCATCAGCTGATCGGGGTCCTGACTCTCAACACACAACACAAATCTAACTATTAGTATTTTCATTTCATCTATTTCATTTCTTTTACAGGCGTTTACTTTAGAGCACATAGCCGTGAGCTTGTTAATGCATTTCTGTCACTGCAAATCTAGAAGTGCACACAATGTCTGTCAGTTGTCTAGAAAGACTCTATTTTCGATCTAACCACAGATGTGCTTGTGTTGTTTGACCGAAGCATCAAATTGTCCCATTTTAGTCACATCTTTAGATTTTATGCTACATCAGGCTTATTGTTCGTTGTTAGCAAGAGTTTTAAAGTTGTATCATCAGGCTGCACTGGAACTTTCACCCTTGGCCAAACAGATAACAGTATAATCAACAACACAATGAGTTGTGTTGCAGAAGATGGGGTCATTATGATCTGTGTGTTTACCCTGAGGGTGGTGGTTTGTTTTCTTTAAGATACACATCACATGTCTGCTGTGTCAGAAGCTCGAGAGGCAGATATAAAGAAGCTTAAAGAAAACACACTTTTAAAAGTTGCTCTCGTCTTTTTCTCCTGCAGCCTCAGATATGGATTACAAGGTTGTGTTTGCAGCCTTGGAGACGGTGTGTGAAGACAACTTTTCTGCCTTGTGTGGACCCTCTGATTTACCGTACGGCACTGTCGCCAAGCGCCTGGTCACATGTTTGAGAGAAATTCAGGAGCACGGCCACGCGCTGGAGCCTGTGGTCGCCAGCCTCACCGCCGTTTACCACCACTACGACTTTGACGCACAAACACCTGGGAACGGCTACCGCACCCTGGTCAAAGTATGACCAGATGTATTTTCTTTTACTCTCTCCTGGACTAAAGTGTGTTATGTGAGCTGTGAAAGCTTTTTACTAATCGGTTACTGTGTATATCTTTTGTGTATATAAACAAAACAGTTTTTCATCAGATAGCACCTAGTGTACATTGCACTTGCTTGCTTTGCTTTAAACAGAAATTGTTCTTTTAGTGGTTGTTTGGTGCTAAATATTGCACATTTTAAATCTATCAAATGTAGTTTCCCTTCATTTTATATAAAATTCACATTATTTCCTTCGCTCTCTTTATCTCTTTGTCCTCCAGGTCTTGCACGCCTGCATTTTGCACATCATACACAAGGGCCGTTACATTGCCGACAACTGCAACGGTGCCTTCTTCAGGGCCGAGCACAATGCGTCTGAGATGGAGGCGTACTGCAGCGCCCTGTGCCAGCTGCGTGCCCTGGTCCACCTCGCCCAGCGGCTGATCAACGACAACGAATGCGGCCAGCTGTACTCCCAGCAGGACGGGGACCTGACCCGCAGGTTTGTGCAGGAGTACAGCTCCATGCACAAGGCGTGTTTCTACGGACGCTGTCTTGGCTTTCAGGTCAGCCAACAACACGAAATAATTTCTCTTTATTTCTTGTTTTAAACACTCCAGCTTTGTTCTGATCAGTCATTTGACACTTTCCATGGGACAGTTTTCTTGAATAACCTGTTTGGGAATCGTTTTAATTGTTGGATACAATTCTCTATTCTCAGTTCTCTCCAGCTCTTCGTCCATTCCTCCAGACTGTTGTCATAAGCATGATATCATACGGAGAGACGTACGGTAAACAGCAGTCACGGTTTGGTGAGTGTCGATTTTAAATGGTGTTGATGGAGGTTGAATACTCACGTCATCTTTTCACGTTTTCCAGTGTGATCATCTTTAAAATATGTTTCTCTCTCGCTCCAGGTATGGCGGCCCTGTCTCTCCTCACATCAGGGAAGTACGTCATTGATCCAGAGATGCGGGGCACTGAGTTTGAACGCATAACCCAGAACCTGGATTTACATTTCTGGAAGTCTTTCTGGAACCTCACAGAGTCCGGCCTTATAACAGTAGGCAGGGTCAAATACTCTTCCTCTCACTGTGATATCATCTGAAGTTCTCACCAGTATTTTAACAAACAGTCTCATTCCCTTGTCTTTCTCCTTCCAGGGTTTAAACAGAATAGCTTCTAACACAGTGCAGGTGAACCTCACCTTGACTGTGCCTCCTCTCCCTCTACGCCTTCCTCTGGCCTCAGACCCAAATCTAACGGCCACTGTGTCGCCTCCAATCGCTCACTCGGGCCCCGGGCCTGTCCACATGCGACTGATCTCCTATGAGCTTCGAGAAGGACAAGTGAGGATCTACAGCGGACAAAATATATAAAATACTGTTCTTAATACTACTCAGGAAAGAGAAGGAACCTGTACTGCTTTCAGACGTGTACTGAAGTCCAGTGCATTCTTCATACTGGAAAATGTCCGAACTCAATTCTCTGGACTTTTGTAGAGTTTTTTTGTTCATGAGTACGAAAGAAGAAAAAAAGATTAATGATAAAAGGTTAATATGATACGGTTTCTGTTTCTTTTCCTTATTATGAATGACCTTGTTGCTCATCCTTTGACTTCATAGGACAGTGAGGAGCTGCTGGCTTTTTCCCGAACTGACCCTCATCCCATCACCGCGTCTCATCTCCCCTGGGTACAGAAGCTGCCTCATTCACCCTGGCTGCTCATCCACTTCCACGGAGGAGGTTTTGTAGCCCAGACATCCAGATCTCATGAGGTGCAGCACAGACGGATTTAACACTGCTGGTGTTAGCTTAAGCTGTAGCACAGTGTGTTAACATAACACATTATTCATTCAATACAGTGAGACTAAGCAGCTGCTGGTTTGCACCTCATCACACGTCTTTTTATCTTGTTCTGCATCCGCCCACTCATGTGTCAGAGTTATCTTCGGAGCTGGTCGAAGGAGCTGAACGTCCCCATCCTGTCTGTCGACTACTCTTTGTCACCTGAAGCGCCTTTTCCCAGAGCTCTGGAGGAGTGTTTCTACGCCTACTGCTGGGCACTGAAAAACTGTCACCTCCTGGGTAAGTGGATGAGTCAGACCATACTGGAGCAGGAGAATTGTCTAAACCTTCCGAAATCCAATGTACATCAATAATACAAATGGAAAAGCAGCTTATGTGATTGTTTTTTTAACTCTTGATTGATTGATTTGGATTTTTTAAACACACAATGGTCATAGACACTAACAGTTCCGTGTGTCTGTGTCTCTCAGGCTCCACAGCGGAGCGAGTTTGTCTGGCGGGGGACAGTGCTGGAGGAAACCTCTGCATCACTGTGTCCATGAAGGCCATGACCTGCGGCATCCGAGTCCCTGACGGCATGATGACCGCCTACCCCGCCACCCTGCTCACCACAGACGCCTCGCCCTCTCGCCTGCTCACACTCATCGACCCACTGTTGCCTTTAGGTGTTCTTGCCAAGTGCCTCAATGCCTATGCAGGTATGTGGATGTGGGTGCGTTAGGTGTATACTGACTCATGCCTCATTTGACACTAGAGCACGTTCCGGCGCCAAAGGAACAGAAAACAGGATATCAAAAGGATTTCCACATATACCAGGTTATGCAGGAGGAAAAGCGATGAAACTAATTAGCGACCTGCTGTCGAGGCCATGACCATTTCACCACGTTTATGTTTCATTTCCTAAGCTCTCATGCTTTCTCTCTCAGGTATAGACTATCACACGGTGCAGCCTGCAGTGGGAAGCAACAGTCTGAGCACTCTGGGCAGAGACACAGCCGTGCTGCTCGGTGATCTCACCCAGGGAGCCTCCAACTGGATCCACTCATTTCTGGACCCCATGCTGAGTTCAGGTGGAGCCCACTCCCAGTCGCCGTTAGAGAGGAGGTCCCAGAGCAGTGAAACCCGCAGGACATCAACTCGCACCTCCACGCAAACATCTGGGGATCACGTGGTTTACCCACAGGGCTTTGAGCCCCTGCGTGCCGAGTGCCTGGCTGTTGTTCACCAGACCTCCTCTCCTGTTTTTAGGAACCCCTTTGTGTCACCTTTACTGGCTCCGGACAACATGCTGAGAGGTCTGCCGCCTGTATACATCGTGGTAAGAGAGGTCCAGTTCGATGGCTTAGCTAGATTTGATCTTTTGCTAAAGTTGTGTGGATGGCATTGTAGTGCAGTGGTTAGCACTATCTCCAGCAAGAAGGTTACTGGTTCGAATCCCAGTTTAGCCAGGGTCTTACTGTGTGGAGATTCTAAACTGCCCATAGGTTAGAACGATTGATTATATCCGATTCCTCCATGTGTCCACACAGGCCTCTGCTCTGGACGCCTTGCTGGATGACTCTGTGATGTTTGCCAAGAAACTGCGAGACATGGGCCAGCCCGTGAGTCTGACGGTGGTGGAAGACCTGCCTCATGGCTTCCTCAGCCTCGGACAGCTCGCCAAGGAGACGGAGGTCGCTACAGAAATCTGCGTTGCGCGAATTAGGGAGATTTTTGAGCAAGAAAACCCAACGCCTGCTCTTCGCAGTCGGCCAAAGCGGGAAGTGGCGTAACAGAGAATCAAACCATGACCTATTTATCTGTCATTCCAGCTGTTTTTGGATAAAGAAGAGAACTGACGTTTTGTTGTGCAATAAGTTAAAGGAAACAAATCAGGGAGAATAATGAAGATGCACCAAAAACTGAAGGAAGCTTAGAGGGAAACTGCACTTGAAACTTACACTGCACAACGAAAAAAGAGAGCCACTAAAACTTTTAACTTTCTACATCTATAATCTAAAATGATCTGATATGATGACAGAAATGAAAGTAGTATTTTTCTATTAAGATTTCCATGTTGAAGAAGCAGATTAAACGCACATTTATAATTTTACAAGCTGACTAAAACAAAAAGATCACTATAACCAGCACTGGTTGAGATACATATCAGTAACAGAAGCTGTTGTGCTTGAATTTAAAGCATTGCTGTATTTGCATATGACCAAAGTTAAAGGTTAACTTGAACAGAGAACACTTTTCCGATGTGTTGTATTGTTATTATATAATTTAGATAAATAGTTTTACCTGGTTTTGCCAGTTTGTCACATGTTTACAGCGTTTTGATGAGGAGGCCTTTACCTTGTGTTTACCGGCAGTATGTGGATGTGACTTGTTCTACTGTAAATTCATTCTTTATATCTCTTATTATAAATATTTAACACAGTTTATTTAAAACCTGTATTAAATCAAAACTCCAAAGATGACTGGTGTTAAATTATTGTTTGTTTATTTGAAGATTTTGGAAATGCTATGTTAAATCGTGTGTGTGTGTATGTGTGTGTGTGAGGGATCATTTTATCAGCCTGGTTTAAAGTGGGAAGTAAAAGTTGTTCGTCGTTAGGAGGGAATTGTTCACAGGCTTGTCAAACAATTTGCACTTAAACTGCATCAGTTCACAACAACAGTAAAGTAACTGTGACAGAGTTTGATGCTCACCAGGGCAGATTATGAATGCATGAGTTAAAGTGAGATTTAAGAGAGTTTTTAAAATTTAAAAAAACTAATTAGAAAGTTGCTTTGAATGATACAAACAATACATCAAAAAATATGAAGCGGTACTGCTGTATATCTACAGGAATTATTTGTGTTGTAATGTTTATTTAAAGGAAATTAAAAGTATTTTGGCCCTGAACTATAAATATTACATCTTGCTTATCTAGGTGAGAGGTGTTATTCTTCCTCTGGCCGCTGAGGTCAGATGATTGAAAAAGAATCATTAGTAAAACATAAAGAATTGATAAATGAGACTGTGAAATGGGCAGTTCGTACTAAATTAAATGAATAGCATTGATTCACATTTCTCATGTTTTTCTTATTGCTGAATGGACGCTGTGTTGTGTTGCAGACACTGAAGGTCTGAAGATTTGTTGTACAATTACTTTTAATTGACTCTGTTGTTTGGAATCTGGCACCATATGTTTTGCGTGTGTAGTCCAGAGAGCTCATCATACAAACATGACACATTAACACAATCAATCAATCAAATGTATTTATATAGCACGGTATCTTAAGAAACACTAAATCCAACTTGTTCCACACCGAGCAAGCATGAGCAACAGCGGGGAGGAAAAACTCCCAGGTGGAAGAAACCTCCGGCTCGGTGTGGACACACGTGTGAATATACTCCTTCATTCATGTCACTGCTGGGTTTCAAACTCCAAACTTCTTAAAAACTTTGAGAATTTGACCAGAGACATAAAATCCTCTACGTGCAGTAACCCAGGAGTGACAGGAGGTGGCAGCAGCGTCGCGGAGCCTCTCGTGCGATAAACAGGAGAAAGAGACGCCGAGGGAGAGGAGAAGAAGAAGAAGAAGAAGAAGGCGACCATGTTGATTGAAAGCAGGAAGAAACACAATAGAAGCGATTTATCTCAAGTAAAATTCACTTACTAAAGCGACTTGCGAAGAAAGTGACCGACCGGCCGTGGACTGGACATCCCGTGTATAACAGCAGACAGACCGAGGTACGTTCGCGGGGACCCGGAAACATCCGGTAACCGTTGAAAACAACCGAAAGCTACCTGACGTTTGTGCTAAATTAGCCTTCGAGCTAGCGATCCTGTTGTTTGTGCTACATACCAACAACAACGTCAGTGATTTAAAAAAAAAACTGCGCCACAGCAGCAAAACACAGCGTCCACGTTGATTTCACTTTACTCTTATGACGTTTTATTCTGTAAAATCAAAAGCTTTTAAATGACCCGACGGCTTAGCGGCGAGTTAGCGTCAAGCTAGCTTAGCTTTGACGTTAGCACAATGCGGCTAATGGATCGATAGATGTAGTTTATTGATCCCAAATTGGGGAATGGTTGAGTTAGAGATGCACGTCGAGGGCAGTGCACATAGAGACAAGTGGCAGCATTACAGGTACGAAGAATTAAAAAAAAATAGAAGCTCAAAATATAATGTAATAACAAAAACACTGTAAATGCTCCCTAAGTTAATGGTGCACAATAAAGTACTAGACTACACAGTGAAGTGCTCAATATAATGCAGCAAAGAATAAACCTATAAACAAGAGACTACATGCAAGAGAGGACAAGTGTGCAAGGTTGCAGCAGATGTTTGCATTGAAAGTAATGAGGTAGGAGGGATTATGAAAATAAAACATGCACATAAGATTTGCAAATTCAAAGTTAGTTATGTAATTTTGTGTTTGTAATGTTAAAGTTATTGATTTAAGGAGGAAAACGATCAACTTAATGCTGCTATCGATGTAATGTGAGTCATTTAGCAAAGGGTTCTAGAATTGAAGCGGCTCAAATGAATTTGACGTGTGCGTCGGTATGAAATTAATGTCAGTCAGATCTGGAGCCTGTACTAAAGGTCAGTGTTATTTTAAACTCTGTCACTTTGAACATCTTAATCTGCCTCCTGGCAACTTCACAACCAAACCATTTAGCGAATTAGCTGTTGAAGCTCTGCAGCATGAGGCTCATCAAAGTTTTAACCAGCTAACTTGTCGTCAGTACTAAACATTTTTTACTAACTAGTACTTTCAGTCACGTTCAATATGTGAGTCTCAACTAGACTTAAAATATTTTGTAATGGTCACATTATGAAAAGTTTAGATTAATAGATTGGAAATAATCAGGCAATGGGTAAATAATACTTTGTTAGCTTTGTCAAATATTTTTTTCAGTTGTTAATAATCCTTCATTTCCAGCTTCTCAATTTTGATGGTTTGGTGTTTTTCTTTGTTTTCGTTCATTAACTGAAATTCCGAAGGTTTTGGACAAAACAAACTGTGAAGATCTCATCAACTGCTCCTGTTATCCGAACACTATCCTGTTGGATTTATTGCAGGTGACAAGTTTGAGTCGTTGGCTGACTTTGAGGAGGCAGCGGTTTGATAAGGGCCACACTCGCACACTTCACACACCGACCTGAAGGACAGTGGAGTCCAGGGAGAGAAGGTCCAACACCTGGAGCAGAAAGGAAACGCACAGTGAGGACACAACAGGGGTGGAAAGCTGTTTGGCTTTGGACTAGATAACCCCCTGTATGACTTGTATTTTCAGGATCTCTTTTTTTTTTCACCCGTGGAGCAACATACACCCACACAGTGGAAATAACAGAGAGAATTACAGACTATATGATTTTGGGGAAAGACTTGTACAAAGTTGGACATCCTTTTTTTTTCAAGGACAGGGATATTGAGCAACTCTTTTCGGACTCAAAGTGGAAACAAGAAATATTGTTCCATTTAGAAACAGAAGTTTAAGTATTGAAATAAGATTATATTGAAGAAGCTATTCCCCAAATTCAGATTGCCTTAGTTGTTCTATTTCAGGACTTGAACCGCTTCGATACTTGTTCATATATAATTTTTCTATATTGTGGGCAAGTATATTCATGCATATTAATGCAAATTTCTCTTCATTTTGAAGAGCTCTTGTGTAAAAACTTTTTTTTGATGTTCTTGTACGTCAGTCACTCTGTTGTTTGAAGGGGACCGAACTGCACGTACATGTGTATATGTAAATAATACGAGTCAACCTCTGTTGTAAAAGCTTTGGACTTAAAAAGAATAGAGAATATTGTTTTGTTAATGCTTTATTAAACTTTTTTACTTTTGAAGAGAATTTTTAAAAGAAAGACCTAAGAGGCAAAAATTTAATACTTTGAAGAAAAAAATAAACAAACTAAAGCAAGGAAAAGATGGCAACTGCCAGAACAGAAAACCTTGGCACAGTCGTCATGGGATTGAACAAGCAGAACGGGCAGCTCAGAGGACAGACCAAATCAGCTTCAGTCCAGCCAGCACCCACAACTCAAGGAAAGTCTATGGGCGCACTCCAGAAAGCAGGCTGCCCCCCGCAAGAAGGAGGAGGCATCAAGTTCGGAGACGACTGGAAGAAGAGTCTGAAGCTCCCTCCCAAAGACACCAGGGTCCGAACCTCAGTGAGTGAAGTCTGACGACGCTTTCTTATCACACTTAAGCACGTAAATACTTTTGTACCATTGTTCTGACCTTTCTGTGTCCACTGTAGGATGTGACATCCACCAAGGGGAATGAATTTGAAGATTACTGTCTCAAACGAGAACTCCTGATGGGCATCTTTGAGATGGGTTGGGAGAAACCATCCCCCATTCAGGTATGTTTTATTTCAGTTATTCTGTTACTGATCAGATGAAGCCAGTTTGATCGTTGTGCCTCAAAAGTGTTTGAAATCAAACCTTTTGTGGTTATATTATGTGTTTACGTAGTTTGTATTAACAAACATGGCTTTATACTTAAGGATTCAATGTTTGGCTCATTATAAGATAATACAAGTGCATTTTAGTTTTGTGCTCACAGCTTTAAAAAGGGTCAAACACATGTTCATGTTTAGAATTGTAGCAGCTTAAAGAGCTTAACAGTCTCAGTAATCTCAGTGACCCAGTGTAAAATCGATTTGTATATGAGAGCATTATGGTTTTTGGCAAGATACCAGTGTCACAGAATGAGCCTGAAGACAGGATTTTTGTTTCCCTTGCAGGAGGAGAGCATTCCCATCGCCCTGTCTGGACGGGATATTCTGGCTCGAGCTAAAAATGGAACAGGGAAAAGTGGAGCCTATCTCATCCCAATGCTGGAGAGGATAGACCTGAAAAAGGACTACATACAGGGTGAGACTCTGCCTGTGGTGTCATTCTGATGCTCTCCTAATCTTCTTTGACTTAACTGTTGTCCCATAGTGAGAGCCATCACTGGGCTGAATTGTAATCTGTCCTGTGCATTGTTATCCCTCAGCCATGGTCATGGTGCCCACTCGTGAGCTGGCACTGCAGGTGAGTCAGATCTCCATCCAGATCAGCAAACACCTAGGAGGAGTCAAAGTCATGGCGACCACCGGGGGCACCAACCTGCGAGATGACATCTTGCGCTTGGACGAAATCGGTAAGAACTTTTAGTTCCAGTCTCAGTTTATGAAGTAGAACACTGTACAACTTTCTTTGTAGCTGAAGGAGCAGTGCAAATTAAAATAATGAAAAATATATACTGCTGTGCTTAGAAAGAAAAGTTCTCTCTTGTTTTTTCAGTGCATGTGGTCATCGCCACCCCTGGCAGGATCCTGGACTTGATAAAGAAGGGAGTGGCGAAGGTGGATAGGGTCCAGATGATGGTGATGGATGAGGTAAACATCAGCAAAGTTGTTTTAAAAATAAACTGAAATCTAATTGTATATTGTCGTCGTAGTTTTTATTTGGGCAATTACATTTTTATTTTCTTCTATAAAAATGTGTCTGTCTATTTGTCTGGATCGCAGCCTGCTTCATGTTAAGTGATGTGTTTCCTCAGGCGGATAAGCTGCTGTCTCAGGACTTTGTGGTGCTCATTGAGGATATCATCAGCTTCCTGGCCAAGAACAGGCAGATCCTGCTCTACTCTGCAACCTTCCCCATCAGCGTGCAAAAGTTCATGGTGAGTTGTTGGCTTAACTGCTACACAGCTCGTCCTTCCCAATGGCGCAGGGCCACTTGGCACCTTTCGTCTCGGGCTGCAGACCAAGCTGTTCTCACTCTGTGCCCAGATCTGTGTTTGTCTGTTGTAAACATTTCCTGGGTTGCCTTCAGCTTCAGCTCACACTCAGGATTTGAGTGTTTGGAAAGCCTTTTAATTTGCGATGTAGATTTGTGACTTGGGTTCGTGACCGATTTCAACATCTCACAGGCTCGATTTCTGAAACCACTTTGACAATAACACACTCTAAACTGTTGCTTCTCCCTATGTTCTTGCTGCAGGCCAAGCACCTTCAGAAACCCTACGAGATAAACTTGATGGAGGAGCTGACTCTGAAGGGCATTACTCAGTTCTACGCCTACGTCACAGAGAGGCAGAAAGTCCACTGCCTCAACACACTGTTTTCCAGGGTAACTGACTCTTCGCTCTGTATTCACTGTCTGTTCTTTTTAAACTGCTACAGGCCTTTTCATCACAAACGCACTTTAATTTGACAAGGCAATGACTCATCAAACGACTCATCATAAAAACAATCGGCCAGTGTGGGCGAAAAATATGGGACTGCATCTGTTGTCTCTTTGCAGAGCTGCTGCCAAGTGGCTGACATTAGCTTTGGAGATTTGTCCTGTTTCCTCTTTCAGCTGTAAATAACTTCTGATTTCCTGCAGAAGAAGACTTCAGGTCAAAAGTTTGACGCAGGGATTCAAACCCGTGCCTTTACTTCCCTCTGTCACAGCTTCAGATCAACCAGTCTATCATCTTCTGTAACTCTACTAAGCGAGTGGAGCTGTTGGCCAAGAAGATCACTCAGCTGGGCTACTCCTGCTTCTACATCCATGCCAGGATGATGCAGGTGAGAGAGTGATGGATAGTGTGATGTGTCCATGATTACATGTGAATAAGTTTTAATAAGCAGTTGGATGGAATCTGGTTTTGGGTTTCACTTTGTTTTTGCTTTGTCTGTGCGGGTTGTTAATATTTTGATTTATTAAAATCTAAGACCTGCATTAGTGTATGAATGAAACTTGACGTTAAGTCTTGAATGGGACTGAGAATGTTTTGGGTTGATTTTTGTTATTATTCATTTCCCGTCTTGTGTGTTTTCAGGAATACAGAAACCGGGTGTTCCATGACTTCAGGAACGGACTGTGCAGAAACCTTGTCTGCACAGGTGAGTCTCTTTCACATACGGCAACATTTCAAATCAACGCATTTAATGTTAATGCTCTAATGCACCGACATCGTTCTTCCTGTAGATCTTTTCACCAGAGGTATCGACATCCAGGCTGTCAACGTCGTCATCAACTTCGACTTTCCTAAGAATGCTGAGACTTACCTCCATCGTATTGGAAGATCAGGTTTGTTTAATATTGTGAACTGCTCCTTTTATGTTTCATTTAGATTTTCTCATCTGCACAAAGAATCCGTTCTTTCTTTTCTTTTTTTGTGTTTACATGTTTTTCCTGTGGGATGACATGCGGAGCTCCATCTTGCTTTTCACTGTGACAATCAATATTGGATGTTTTCCGGGACACAGGACCTGAGCTAGATAGATTTCATGGTGCGTATTTATATGAAACGTTCTCTCGCTCTCAGGGAGGTTTGGTCACCTGGGCTTGGCCATTAATCTCATCACGTCGGAGGATCGCGTAAACCTGAAGGCCATTGAAGAGCAGCTGGTGACCGATATCAAGCCCATTCCCAGCAGCATCGACAAGAGCCTCTATGTGGCCGAGTACCACTCATCCAGCGGCGACTGTGACGTGGAGGAAATCGAGGAGAAGCCAGGACTCCAAGAGGACAGCATCTAAAAAAGAAAAAAGGTGAGATGCTTTGAGATAATTCTTTAGACTTTAATTTCATGGGAAAAAAAGATCAATCTTCCTAATCTAAGTTTTATCTTCGCTCCAGGACATTAGGACACACCGGGGCTTTTGCGTAGACATCAACGCTTGCAGTCTTCAGGCGACTCTTCAGTTTCACATTTCCCCTCATTTTCAGAGCCTGACAAATGGATGTAAAGGCTGTTTATTTTTTATTTTTGAGCTTTTCCTCAGAGAGCTGCCTCTTATTTATTCTTTTTAATAACTGAGAAAGTTGAAACCTTCACTTTGCACCAACCTCACACTAAACCACACAGCATGTGTTGGAGCGTAGATTATTTTCCCTCCTAAAATACGTTTGTTGGAGAGCTGTGCAAATTATTGTCCCAGCTGTTTTGAACCAGTTGTCCTCAGAGACACGTCTTCATCACCAGCAGCAACTTTGGTCTGTTTTTAATGATACAATGGTGTGTTTCCACCAGCCATCGTTCTGTCCACTTACACTGCTGTTGTCACTTAAGTGCCTTACTTACTCCCATGTGCACTCATCCATTCATAGCCTGCTGTCTTCTGTCATGCAGCGCAGTGCGAGCACAAATGAGATGAACTAAAACATAATCTGATTTTATTTAAACATCGCATTATGCAAAGGGGAAAAAGATGACACACACACACACACTGTCCTGCAGAGGTGTGTGTGTCGAAACACGGCTCAAACTCCTCCAACTTTACTGAATGTGAACGTTGCAATAAAAAGGGCAGCTTTATTTAAATACTGCGTGACTGTTTTTCCCTTTCACTACTAATAATACATGAGCAGAGTAAATATAGGAAGACACAAGCCCTCATACTGATTCGTGGATGTTGGCCTGCAACCACACAAACAGCATGGGAAACAATTAGCAGCCACATGCTGTGACATTATGGCTGTCGCAGCTTGACAGTCGTTTTTTTTTTTTTGGAGTTTATCTTGCATTAAAAAAACACAGTTGGCTGGTGAATCCTGTCAAAACTATCGGCCGCTGTAGCTGGTGGATGAAAATCTGATTCAAAACAGCTTTGATAGCAAAACTTGCCATTTCTAAGCTCTCCGATATTTGAGCATAAACGAGTCCAAGACATAAAGATTCGAAGGGTTTTTGTGAATTTTGGTGCAAAGCGATAGTTTGAACTTTCTTTTTCCACACACATCTTTAACCTTTCTGACTTACAATGTGGAAATATTAAGGTTTATAAAGCAAATGTTTCTGCAGATCCTAAAGTGAAACTTTCTTTTTAAGCCCCATCATGACACAATTTAAGTTGGTGAATGTATCAGTTGCCAATGTAAACTCTGCGGCCCAGCGGTTGAACATAGTTGTTGTCTGTATGGCTGCTGCTGCATTAGAAACTCCTTCAGGTTTAACTTTTTTATGAAATAATATAAATGTTGAGAAACGGTTTCATCTTCTATTTAGAACCGTGTTGACCTTCAATCAGAACTGAAATCAAAAGAAAGGAGTTTTCTCTCTGCAGCAGCAGCGATATATATATTTTTTTGTTTTCCTTTTTGTTTTTACAAAAGAAAATGTGAGAATTGTTTTTTCTGAGGGGTGGGCTCTTTTTCTTTTTTTTTTTTTTTTTCCCTTCCAGAGCGTCACAACTTGTTTTTCTTTTTAAAAAGGCATAAAAAAGAGCTTATTAAGATTTATTTTTGATGCGTAAAGCAGTTTGGCTCT